TTCGGAGTCCGGGTTTGAAAAAATTACATGTCTTGGACCGCTCATTAATCCGTCAATTTTGATTTCTTTGAAAACAAATAAATCTCTACTGACACTGAACCCATAAATGCTGGCTTCCCACAAGGATCAGTTCTGTCGCACACGCTGTTTATTTTGCATACCAACGATGTTTGTAGCTTAACAACAGCATTCGTTGCTGTGCCCATGACAGAACGACACTGTTTACACTGGTCAGTCAAATACCCCTCGGATGGAAGTAGACAAACTTGTGCATCAGATTAAGACGTCACTGGATCAAGTCTTGAATTGGGGCCAGGCAGAAGTGTGTGCGTTCACCGCGAAAAACTGCCCATTCGTAGTGATTGATACCTTATTTCCAGGACACTCAACATTACTAAAACATCGGAATTCCAGGAGTTGATATCTCCGATGAAGTACAATTCCGAGTTAATTTGGAAGGTAAAACAAACCAGCCTGCAGGCTTGGGGTGCTCAATAGAGCGAAAAAGTACTTCAAGCCTAAATATCGATTGTTGCTTTACAAAGCACAGGTCCGGCCGCATATGGAATATTGTTTTCACTTCTGGACGGGAGCACCCCAACAGCAGCTTATTCCTCTTGAGACCGGATACAAAAGCGGGCATTTTTTCTAGTTATATTTTCTTTAGATTTAAACATCAAGCAGTTACATGCTTTAAAAATAATAAAAAAATTATAACTATAATTGCTATTTCTTCTTTCAAATGTTTAATACTTGTAAAAGTATTCATTTGACATTGTGGGTTTACCTATAATGCGAAGAGATGGCGCTGCCTTGCAGCTTAAGAATAGCTAGAAGGAATTTCGACGCGGTCCGTGAGGGCCGCGGTAGCATAATTGGTCAGTGCATTCGCCCGGATTGCGAAGGGTGCGGGTTCGAGTCCCGTCTGCTGCCTGGTCCGCGTGGAATTTTTTCTAGTTATATTTTCTTTAGATTTAAACATCAAGCAGTTACATGCTTTAAAAATAATAAAAAAATTATAACTATAATTGCTATTTCTTCTTTCAAATGTTTAATACTTGTAAAAGTATTCATTTGACATTGTGGGTTTACCTATAATGCGAAGAGATGGCGCTGCCTTGCAGCTTAAGAATAGCTAGAAGGAATTTCGACGCTGTCCGTGAGGGCCGCGGTAGCATAATTGGTCAGTGCATTCGCCCGGATTGCGAAGGGTGCGGGTTCGAGTCCCGTCTGCTGCCTGGTCCGCGTGGAATTTTTTCTAGTTATATTTTCTTTAGATTTAAACATCAAGCAGTTACATGCTTTAAAAATAATAAAAAAATTATAACTATAATTGCTATTTCTTCTTTCAAATGTTTAATACTTGTAAAAGTATTCATTTGACATTGTGGGTTTACCTATAATGCGAAGAGATGGCGCTGCCTTGCAGCTTAAGAATAGCTAGAAGGAATTTCGACGCGGTCCGTGAGGGCCGCGGTAGCATAATTGGTCAGTGCATTCGCCCGGATTGCGAAGGGTGCGGGTTCGAGTCCCGTCTGCTGCCTGGTCCGCGTGGAATTTTTTCTAGTTATATTTTCTTTAGATTTAAACATCAAGCAGTTACATGCTTTAAAAATAATAAAAAAATTATAACTATAATTGCTATTTCTTCTTTCAAATGTTTAATACTTGTAAAAGTATTCATTTGACATTGTGGGTTTACCTATAATGCGAAGAGATGGCGCTGCCTTGCAGCTTAAGAATAGCTAGAAGGAATTTCGACGCGGTCCGTGAGGGCCGCGGTAGCATAATTGGTCAGTGCATTCGCCCGGATTGCGAAGGGTGCGGGTTCGAGTCCCGTCTGCTGCCTGGTCCGCGTGGAATTTTTTCTAGTTATATTTTCTTTAGATTTAAACATCAAGCAGTTACATGCTTTAAAAATAATAAAAAAAATTATAACTATAATTGCTATTTCTTCTTTCAAATGTTTAATACTTGTAAAAGTATTCATTTGACATTGTGGGTTTACCTATAATGCGAAGAGATGGCGCTGCCTTGCAGCTTAAGAATAGCTAGAAGGAATTTCGACGCGGTCCGTGAGGGCCGCGGTAGCATAATTGGTCAGTGCATTCGCCCGGATTGCGAAGGGTGCGGGTTCGAGTCCCGTCTGCTGCCTGGTCCGCGTGGAATTTTTTCTAGTTATATTTTCTTTAGATTTAAACATCAAGCAGTTACATGCTTTAAAAATAATAAAAAAAATTATAACTATAATTGCTATTTCTTCTTTCAAATGTTTAATACTTGTAAAAGTATTCATTTGACATTGTGGGTTTACCTATAATGCGAAGAGATGGCGCTGCCTTGCAGCTTAAGAATAGCTAGAAGGAATTTCGACGCGGTCCGTGAGGGCCGCGGTAGCATAATTGGTCAGTGCATTCGCCCGGATTGCGAAGGGTGCGGGTTCGAGTCCCGTCTGCTGCCTGGTCCGCGTGGAATTTTTTCTAGTTATATTTTCTTTAGATTTAAACATCAAGCAGTTACATGCTTTAAAAATAATAAAAAAATTATAACTATAATTGCTATTTCTTCTTTCAAATGTTTAATACTTGTAAAAGTATTCATTTGACATTGTGGGTTTACCTATAATGCGAAGAGATGGCGCTGCCTTGCAGCTTAAGAATAGCTAGAAGGAATTTCGACGCGGTCCGTGAGGGCCGCGGTAGCATAATTGGTCAGTGCATTCGCCCGGATTGCGAAGGGTGCGGGTTCGAGTCCCGTCTGCTGCCTGGTCCGCGTGGAATTTTTTCTAGTTATATTTTCTTTAGATTTAAACATCAAGCAGTTACATGCTTTAAAAATAATAAAAAAATTATAACTATAATTGCTATTTCTTCTTTCAAATGTTTAATACTTGTAAAAGTATTCATTTGACATTGTGGGTTTACCTATAATGCGAAGAGATGGCGCTGCCTTGCAGCTTAAGAATAGCTAGAAGGAATTTCGACGCGGTCCGTGAGGGCCGCGGTAGCATAATTGGTCAGTGCATTCGCCCGGATTGCGAAGGGTGCGGGTTCGAGTCCCGTCTGCTGCCTGGTCCGCGTGGAATTTTTTCTAGTTATATTTTCTTTAGATTTAAACATCAAGCAGTTACATGCTTTAAAAATAATAAAAAAAATTATAACTATAAAAAAAGTTGATTTTTGACATTTAAAACTGTTTATTTAACATACTAAGTTTATGTTGACCTGTCCGGTTTCTGAACTCGGGGTTTTTACCGGTCTGGTTGCCATATTTTAGAGATGGCAACCCTGATCCACCAGAGAATCGAGATATTATTACGCGAAGGAAAAGTTTCATTTCCATTTTTAAGCACATTTAACTCCATGAAAAAGTGTAAATTAAAGTTTGTACAGAGAAAGAGTGCAGTAAATAAATAACGCCAATCCTCTTAGTATCGATTTTTTTTTATTATTATTATTTTAGCGAGGTAGGCAAAAGACTCCACCCCACCAGATGTTAAGTGGTGATAAAGTCCAAACGCGAAGATAGCTGGTACAGCAGCTATAAACTGCTACACCAACCATCCTCACCTTGCCGGCCTGCAAATATGCTTAAATGTTTTAAAAAATATTTCTATTAATCAGAGCACCAACCGAACTTTCGGTGATGTCTCGGCAAAACCAAAAACTCCCTGCTGTTTGTCTGTTTATTGTTTGCTAGTTCCAAACAGTTCCAAACTACGCTCCGTGCAATAAATGTTAGTCATCAATTTCATATATTTCATCTGTTGCATCTGTCTGAGCATGTTGTGTGATTTTATGCTCAGATTAATGAACGTAAGTGTTAAAAGTTGCACTCAGAGCTTATACATAAGCAAGATTCTCCGACCAAGGCCAAGCCTGTGAGCGTAGGTTTGGAACGCAGATTAGTGCGTTTTGTTGCTCCTGACTGTTGCACCATATTTAATAGCAAACTTATTCAAGAAGCCTATAAAAGTGACAGTGATCTATTTCATAAACGACGACGAATTTTTATTACAATAGATGGTAATGAATCAGTTTTTTTCTGTGATATAAAATATATTATAAATAATTTTCCATACATATCAATAAATATTAAATAAACCATTAAATTTATCTAATCACTCTTTTTGAATAGTTAATGTTATTGTATGAAGAAATTAGTTACTTTTAATTTAATTAAATATAAAATGGTGTCGATTAATGCGTGATTCTCTAAACTAAAAACTAAATTTAACATCAGTCTCTCATTTTCATTCTGTATATAGAGAACGACAAGGATATACTGCTGTCAAATTTAAGTTTAGGTTTAGAGAATCATGCTAGAATCGACACCAATATCATTTACTCTGTGAGTTTCCGTCCCTAATGCCTCCTCTACACGTTGACGCGTTTGCAGACGTCAACAGATGCATCAGGAGATGGATCAGTACAAGCCGACCACACGTCTGACGACGTCGTTATTCAGTCTGTGTTAATTCTTGATAGACGAACAACAAGATTAAACAAAAAATGTTTAGATCGTAGCTACTACAAATATTTATTTATTTAGTACTTTTAACTACTACTTGATGCACCATCGCAGTATAATTATTAAAAGGAAATAGACAAGAAGAAGTTGCTGGCTATTTTTCGGATACCACACGTAGTTTTGTGATTGAATACTACTCAAAAAATTTAAATGCTTCGTTACTGCTCATAATATTAGCCATTTCGGCGAACGAGAGTAACGAACGAACAAAAAATTATTGCAAGCACGGGTCCACTCTCATTCACAACTCCAGCACTACTGATGAGTCGAGAGACGTGTGAACACACGTTTATACGCCGGACGACCGCGCTGAATCTCTTTGTTGCGTGCCACAAAAACCGACAACGGATTGATAGCACACGCATCTGAGGATTTTAAATACCTACCACAAACGCGCAAACTGCCCCATCTACACTTGATGACATCTGTAGATGCGTCTTTCGACGTGTAAAGGAGGCATAAGGTGTCATCATGACAGCTAGCTCAATGGGAAAAACAAAACGCAATTTATCCTATTTCGCATGAGGATTTGAGAATATTGTTTTTAAATAATTCGAACAATGGCTGCAGTAAAAAGTGTAGATGAAATTAATGCAGACGAGGTGGTAGAAAATGGTGAAGAAGAGGAGTTATATGCTGTAGACGAAGGCGAAACAAAAGATCCCGCCAAGAAGAAGAAAAAGAAAAAAAAGAAGAAGAAGACAGGTTAGCTTGACTGTCCTAACCACACTATTTTAACTTCGACTTATTTTTATTATGACCTATGTATATTTAGTTTATTTGGTTAAAAATGATGACAAAGGAAATATTGCAGTAGTAGCATGCTTCAACATCAGGCGACCATAACAAATTTATTGCACCTGGTTATCCTGTTTCAAATCTCATGTGCATTTAATCAAGGTGGACCATGACAAAATCATCGGGTTCTGTATTACTATTGGTTAAGTTACTACTCCAATAGTCAATAAGATTACCTGGTCTATTTCGTAGTGAAATACGTGCCCATATTTTTTAAGAGATAATTCTATCATAATAACTTATACATAATATTATTACTATAGTCATGCACTAGTTCTAATAGATTTCGTTTTATTAACTATTTTATAGCTAATTCAGCAATGAACTAAAAAAAAAAATACCCCACCTGCTAAATCACTGTTGTGAATGAAATGAAATGAAAAGTCATTTATTCAGTCTAGGCTGTTACAAGCACTTGTGAAGGTCAGAAGCTACGCCATCGGTTCGTAAAACTACGGCGGGAGACCTTGTACTGAGAAGAACCGGCAAGAAACTCAGCAAGGGCTGCTTTTTTCTCCCTGTATTGATATATACAGAGTTACAATAATAATTTTATATTTAGTATATAGGAAGCGGCATTAGATAGGTAGCATAATGCTGTTACAAAAACTGACTAATACCCATCAAATAACAAATTACAAGAAACACTATGTCCATGCATTACGATCTTTTAGATAATCATTAACTTTATAATAGCCCTTATTCATAAGAGAATTCTTGATCTGAGATTTAAATTTGCTTAGTGGAAGCTCAATCAGCTCTAGGGGAACTTTGTTAAACAATGCAATACTATAACCCAGAAATGAACCTCTTGATTTTTGGAGTCTGAAACATTGAACGGCAAGCTTGTTCTTAAATCTCGTGTTAAAGTAATGGGTTTGACTTTTTTTGCAAATGTGTCATAGTTTTTTCTTACATATATTATATTTTCATAAATGTATTGCGATGCCAGTGTTAAAATATTAATTTCTTTAAAATTTTCTCTAATAGATTCTCTTGCCTTTAAATCATATATGGCGCAAACAGCTCTCTTTTGCAGTACGAAGATACTTTCTATATTAGCAGCTGAGCCCCACAACAAAAGGCCATATGACATAACGCTATGAAAGTAACCAAAGTAAACCAATCTTGCCGTTTCCACATCAGTTAGGAGTCTTATTTTTTTAACAGCGAAAGCCGCAGAGCTCAGTCTACTTGATAAGGCATCAATATGAGGATCCCATTGCAGATGCGAGTCTAACAACTCCACTAACTCTACAAGCTGGTCATTTATTTTTAAACTAGTAATAACCTGCCTCACATTAGGTAGAGTAAACTTAACACATTTTGTTTTACTAGTTTAGTTTTAAATTATTTAAACCAGTGAAGGACTTAAGAGAGAGCACAATTTACTTCGTCATAACAATCATTTCCTCTATTAGCTTTAAACACTAAAGAGGTGTCATCAGCAAATAGTACTGTCTCACACAAATCTCTTGTAAAGTGAGGAAGGTCATTGATATAAATAAGGAAAAGCAATGGGCCCAATATTGAACCCTGGGGCACGCCCATAAAAATGGGTGCTCCTGTAGACTCAGCTTCATTTATAACTATGTACTTTCTGAATCCTAGCAGAAAGATAAGACTGTATCAGACTTAGTGAAATATTTGATACACCATAATGCTTCATTTTATTTGACAATGTTTCATGGCTAACGCAGTCAAACGCCTTTGATAAGTTGCAAAAAATGCCAATAGCATCGTTATCGTCGAATTTATTGGTATATTTTCTTTTCTTTTATTTTATTAAGAAAACCAACAGCATATTCATCAACAAATAACAGATAATACTTTACAGGTGAGTATGGCCAATTACAGGTTTCCCTTAATTTAATAACAATAAGTGTACAATCAGAGATGATTAACTACATGCCAACAAATAAATTGAGTAACAGCCATGAGAAAAAAATAAAAATACAATATACAATCAAGCAACTCCAAGGAGTTTTTACCTGTAGAAAGACATTTATACATATACATACTCACATACCTATACATAGGATACAAACTCACATAATTATACATACACAGATACACACACAATTACACTCCAAAAAAAACTATATTTTACATATTTCTACACTCATGCATTCACTGATCAGACTCCATTTAGTGTTTTTAACAACTTCCATTTAAAAAAAAATCCTTGCTATTTGAACAGATGTTGACGCTATTAAAACATTGGTTATACATTTGAGCGAGTCACAGCAGAACTGAGTTCTGTAGATAGTTTGTGTGGCACAGTGAAACCTGAAAAACAGTTGTATTGTGGGTTCGATATTTAGGAATATGATAATTTATTTTAGCTATCAGATGTGGACAGTCAATTTTACTATTAATTATGTCATGCAGTAGACCCATATCCAATACAATATGCCTCTGTTCTAATGAAAGGAGACCATGCTGTGAACAACCATCTTTGTAATTGTTAAAGGCTTTACAACAGTGAAAGTTATATATTATATGGTTATTTTCAATGTCAGTACCCTTTCAGCTGATAATGAAACAGGAGGCAATGAAAGTCCTGAAGTAACTAACGTGTCTGAAAAAGTCAGCGCTGCAACAATTGAAGATGCTGCAGAAGGAGATGCTGCAAAGAAGAAAAAGAAAAAAAATAAGAATAAAAGCAAGGGTGCAGGCAAGGAACAAACTAATCCACCTACAATTCCCATTGCTGAATTGTATCCTGACAGTAAGTTTGTAATATTATCTACAATGTGATGGCAAGGTTTATAAATTGCAATGTTTATGTAACAATATTTGTTTCTTAGGTTTTCACGCACATCACTCATTAAATAAAACTAGTTTTTACTGATGGTCTTGCAGTGTGATCAGATACTATTAGTTCTTTTTGTTTGGATAATTTAACATAAGAAGGAGATAGAAAGCCTCTCTTGAGTTTGTTTCGCCGGTTCTTCTCAGGAAGGTCTCCCAATTTTGGAACCGGTGGTAGTTTACGGTAGTTAGGGTCAAATAAATAAACTCAAAATTACAAACAAGAATTTTAAATAAAATACTTTATTAAGTAAATTAAATAATAAATTCATACATAGACAATAAAATTTTAAAAATCTTCCAATGAAATAACCGAACGCTCAATATAAGTGTTTCGAAGGTAGCTCGACAATTTTAAATAAAAAATCATTATTCTGACGATGCAGACCTGAAAAGGCTGCAAAACGTCAATAAATAAATAAAGTTTCGTGCATTAACCCGTAAAAACTAGTTTTATTTTATGTAACAATTTTTAGCATAAATGTCTTATACACGTCTTTCGAATGCATGTGTAATTCAACCTTGATACATTAGTTCAATTGGATTTTCTAGTCAAAATTTTTCTTTAGATGTAATAATGATGCAGTATCATACTTATATAAATTTTCTCAAATCTTAGAAATTTAACAGATAAAACTATGTTTTAGACAACTTTCCTGAGGGTCAGATTATGGAGCATGGTCCAGCTGAAGGCATTGATGAGAAAACTGCCAAAGACCGCTTCTCCAGTGAGGAGAAGAGGGCTTTAGATAGGATGCAACAAGACATCTATCAGGAAATCAGGCATGCTGCCGAAGCTCATAGGCAGGTGCGTATTATTTTAAGAAAGTAAAACGTATGTATGTATATTCTTTCACTTTCGGTTTTTCAATTTAAAATCATTACTTTTAGACACGCAAGTACATGCGAGATTGGATAAAACCAGGCATGACTATGATACAAATATGCGAAGAGCTCGAGTCCACTGCAAGGCGTTTGATTGGAGAGGATGGGCTCAAAGCTGGCCTTGCCTTTCCTACTGGCTGCAGTCGTAACCACTGTGCTGCGCATTATACACCAAATACAGGTATGTATTAACTATTACATGCTTTATTCATACTGCCGATGTATCATGAGCTATGTACAAATACTTGATTGGAAATTTATTGAAGTTATACTTCTTTAGGCGCGTTATGAAAAATGATGAGAGTGAAATTTTAAGATGCGCGCGCATCACTGTAACACAAAATTTTGTGTTTACTGCACATTAAGAAAATCTAAAAACAAAATAGAAATAGAATCTCTATTTAGTGGGTGCTATGCTAACGACTGCATTGTGAAGGCCTATCAAAAGTATTTATTAATCTGGAACAACGGAACCAAAGCGCGATTCAGGAGACTACAGCGCCATCTCTTGACCATTGATGTAGTAGAACCAAAAACCACATCTTTATTTTTTGTAATAAAGTAACAGTTATAGGTATTCATATTTATAATATTTATCCACATGTTTCTAGTTTGTATATTCGGAATACGTGTTTGAGTTTCATACAAGTGCAAATCACATATGTTCTAATAAATTATATTCAGTAGCGATTTTAATTGAATATTTTGATTATTTATTTATTTTTTCAAATTAAAACTGAACTTTATTGTGAAGGACTGTCCTTTTCCAGACTTTTTATTAATTTATTGTAATTAATTATTTGCATGCAATTAAAAACTAATTTTAAACGATGCCAAAGAAGGATAACTTCTCACGCGCCTACATAAGTACACGCACCCATTTTTTATGCAAAAAATTGGATATTTATGCAAAAAAGGTCTTTTCTAAAATGAAATTTTCTTCTGAAATTATGAAGGAAGTTTCATTAAAAGATTAATGCTTATTAATCTATATTAAAGTTTTCTTTTTATTTTAAAACCTACCACACATTTTTGATCGAAAATTACCAATTAATTTTTTGACAGTTGGCAACACTCACAATGTACTGGAAAATCCTTAAATTCTCAGTTTGTTTATGTTTGCTTTAAGTATGAATGCAGGCATTCGAAGAATGTTCATTTTTTAAAGCAATATGTGGGAAATCACATACATTATACTTAAATATAACATTGATTTTTCTTAAAAAATCAACAAATTTAGAAAAAAAAACAAAAGTTACGTTATTTTCATGTTTTATTTCACAATGGTGAAAACACCAGATTTTTTTGTTTTGTTTAACATCACTACATGAGGCACCATATGCTGCATAATGCCATATTACCATACCATATTACAGCATACACCAGATTGTATTTACGCAGTTATGTCTATTAGTCATTGAATGTTGTATTGTAGGTTAATTAAACTTATATTTCCTGTTTATTTGCAGGTGACACTACCGTCCTGGAATATGACGACGTGGTAAAGATCGATTTCGGTACACACATCAACGGCCGCATTATTGATTGTGCATTCACCTTGCACTTTAATCCTCGCTACGATCCACTTGTAAAGGGCGTGCAAGAGGCGACTGAGGCTGGCATCAAGGCCTCTGGAGTTGACGTCAGACTTTGCGACGTTGGTGCTGCTGTGCAAGAGGTAAAGGTTTAATTTTGGACTTTATCACCACTCAGGTGGGGTAGAGTCATTTGCCTACCTCTATAAAAAAAAAGATTCCTCGTAAATTCAAATAGGGAAAGAATGCAAATTTGGAATACCTCTTTAGTGTTTGAAACTAGAAGAGGATATGATTGTTATGACGAAGTAAATTGTGCTCTCTCTGAAGTTCTTCATTGGTTTATGGTAAATAATTTAAAACTTAACTCCAGTAAAACAAAATGCGTTAAGTTTACTCTACCTAATGTGAGGCAGGCTAGTATAAAAATAAATGACCAACCTGTAGAGTTTGTGGATTCTACAGTTTCTGGGTATTACTTTAGACTCTCGTCTGCAATGGGATCCTCATATTGATGCCTTGTCAAGTAGACTCTGCAGCTTTTGCTGTTAAAAAAATAAGACTCTTAACTGATGTGGAAACGGCAAGATTAGTTTACTTTGGTAACTTTCATAGTGTTATGTCATATGGCCTTTTGTTGTGGGGCTCAGCTGTTAATATCGAAAGTATTATCATACTACATAAGAGAGCTGTTCGCGCCATATACAATTTAAAGGCAAGAGAATCCCTTAGAGAAAAATTTAAAGAAATTAATATTTTAATACTGGCGTCGCAATACATGTATGAAAATTTAATATATGTAAGAAAAAACTATGATGCATTTGCAAAAAAAAAGTCCAACCCATAACTTTAACACGAGATGTAAGAACAAGCTTGCCGTTCCATGTTTCAGACTCCAAAAATGAAGAGGTTCATTTCTGGGTTGTAGTATTGCATTGTTTAATAAAGTTACCCTAGATCTGATTGAGCTTCCACTGACTAAATTTAAATCTCAGATCAAAAATACTCTTATGAATAAGGGCTATTATAAAGTTGATGATTATCTAAAGGATCGTAATGCATGGACATAGTGTTTCTTATAATTTGTTAATTGATGGGTATTAGTCATTTTTCATAACAGTAATATTGTACCTATCTAATGCTGCTTCCTATATACTAAATATAATGTTAACTATAAAATTTATTGTAACTATATATTTGTATTCTAAATGATGTAATGGAAGGTGACTTCAGACGTATCTCTGAAGTAATTTTTCAACTTGACGACTCTGCATATAACAATACAAGGAGAAAAAAACAGCCCTTGCTGAGTTTCTGGCCGGTTCTTCTCAGTACAAGGTCTCCCGCCGTAGTTTTGCGAACCGATGGCGTAGCGTCTTGACCTTCACAAGTGCTTGTAACAGCCTAGACTGAATAAATAACATTTCATATCATTTCATTTCACTACTTTAAAAAAAATCGTATTTAACACGGATGAAGAGATAAATAAGTGAACACTGCATTTAATGTTAGAAGAACTTATATTTTATTCATGTTAAAGTAATTAAAAACCTTGGATTATCACAAGTAGGATCAATTGTGGTTTAATTAAGAAATCACAGATTGGCGTAGTTTAACCAAAGTGAATATAATTTGGAATAGGGTATTTCAAATTACAATCACCTAATGGTTAACCTGAAATACCTATTTATTTGGCTTTAAATTAAAGAATTTCCATTTAAATACTTTAAGCTTATATTAAAACAAGTATATTTTTCTAAACTTTGCAATAGTCATAAACGTAACAACCAGTCATAGCCTATTGTATTCCAAATTAGCAACATAACCAATTCTAACCTAAAATGTTTTTGTGAATTTGTGTTTCGAATAATTTCTAAAATAAGTGTTGATTTCAACAACTGACATACTAGAGTTAAGATTTGTACAAATATAAATACATAAATATAAGTCACACTCAAGATACAAGCCGATTTATTAATTACTTGGAAAATTTTCTCGTCAGCACTCTCACTCCTATAAAACTGGTATACGTTAATAGATGGCGCTTTAGTATATTTGTATGTATTCCAAATTACTAACAGTATTCCAAATTAGCATCATTTCCTCTACTAATATTATAATTGAAAAGTATGCCTGTCTGTTCACGCTTATACCGCTGAACCCTTTGTGATGAAACTTGGTATCTGTAGAGATAGTTTCAGTCCCAGAGAATTAAAAAGGATGGTTATCTAAGAAATCATCCTTTAAGGTGTGCAAGAGGAGGTGGAAATTTGTATGGGGAACCAATTAAACTATGCACACGAAGTCGTGGGCACCCACTAGTCTTGACAATATATTTTTGAGCATATTTTTTTTTAATAACCCTTTGATATGAAACTGCATAGGTATTGAAATCAATAATACTTTCTCACAGGTAATGGAGTCTCATGAAGTTGAGTTGGATGGGCAGGTGTATCAAGTAAAACCCATCCGAAATCTAAATGGTCACTCTATCGGACCGTACCGTAAGTATACTGCCATTCTGGTAAAAACTAACTATAGTAATGCTTGGTACATGAGATTTTACTCATTTTTAGCTCCATGCGGACAGGGTCGCGAAAAAAGTCTAGTATTTAATAAAAAATACCCATTCTAGTGTTGCCACCTTAGCCCCTCTAAGCGACTACCACAATACAAAACAAAATGTCGGCAACACGTTCATGCGTAGGAACCTATGAATTTGTATTGCAGTATTCGCTTTAAGCTTAAGACCAAGGTCGTCACAAATCAAAGATTCGCTTAGCCTTGTGAACGAAGGGGCTTAGTTGTTTGAATTGTTTTTGTCGGTCAAATACTATATATATTTGTTACTACCACTCAAGTATTTATTAACTTATTTAATAACTCTTTAAGAGCAGCAGGACTTAGCGGATTCCCCGCTCGAATTGGAGCATCCGACTGAGGTAGTAACTTCCAACTAACGGAAGACCACAGTAAAATAACACTACCTTTTGGTGGTGTTGTGTTTCTGTTGGTGAGTAAGGTTCTGAGGCTGCATGGGGTAGGTAGGGCATTAGGTCAGGGTCGACAAGCGTGAGTGATATTTTTATATCGTAAGTATCTTTAGGCTATGGTAGCCACTTACCATCAGATGGGTCATATGCTTGTTTTTTGCATAAGGGGCCGTCCAAGTATTGCGTAAGCACTATAGGGGGGCAGGGGGGTCTTTGCTTTGCTTATTTTTGATGACATGGGGAGTTGAAATAGTGATAATACGACAGCATCATGGATTCGGGTGTCATGGACTGAAGACTTTTAATTGGAATTAGTATACAGGGTGTCCCGTAAGTAATGGTCCAACCGTAAACCCTAGGTAGTTCAAATCTAAAGAAAATATAACTAGAAAAAATTCCACGCGGACCAGGCAGCAGACGGGACTCGAACCCGCACCCTTCGCAATCCGGGCGAATGCACTGACCAATTATGCTACCGCGGCCCTCACGGACCCGTCTGCTGCCTGGTCCGCGTGGAATTTTTTCTAGTTATATTTTCTTTAGATTTAAACATCAAGCAGTTACATGCTTTAAAAATAATAAAAATTATAACTGTAATTCCTAGGTAGTTCACTTGATTGCCTACAACTAATTTGAACCGTTTTTTGAAATTCATTAGGGTTGCCAAAAAAAATGATAAAATATTTTTTTTTTTTGCAATATTTCTGTCTTGAATTGGTTTTTTTAATGGCATTGACGCAAATATTAAAAATTTTCAATTTTTTTTTCGCTAAAATGAAGCTAGATAGATTGACTATCAACTTGTTTATCACATTTGCATAATGACATTGTATTTCTCTCAAAAATATTGAAGTAACTTAACATTTTATTGTATTTTATTTGGATGACCTAAATTGAAAAGCTCCTAATGTAAAAAAAAAGTATGACACCAAAGTGTTCCATTATTTTAAAAACATGTGCATTAAGTAAGGTTTCAAAATTGGTATAAAACTTATGGTTAACTAGTAAAGTTGCAAACATAATACAATGAATCCGAAGAAGAGGCAAATATCTTAAAAAATATAATTAAATTTAATTAGTCTCTAGTTGTGCATTTTTTCATTATTAGGAATGTTTTAACGACACTACGCGCACAGTACACAAGATTAGTACTTTGATCATACTAGCCCTCGAATCGACGCACGCACACAGACAAATAATGTCATTTACACGGCCGCTAACCAATCTTGGCAAGACAAATCTACGCAGTGCCACGTCGCGCGCCGCCGAGACTGGTGTGAATTTGGACTTTACGAATTGCCTATCGAATTTGGACTGTTTTTGTTTTTTATAGAGTTAACGACTTGGCGAGTCTATTGGACTCCGAAAATCTGTTTGTTTGGGGTTGTTGAATCTCCGAACTTTGCAATGCCTCGCAACGTGTACACACCTCGTGAATATGCTATGATGCATTACACCTATGGAGAAGCAAGAGGTAATGCCAGAAAAGCTGCAAGATTGTACCGAGAAAGGTACCCGAATTTGCGTCACCCTGACCACCGAATTTTTGCTTAGAGTGCATAACTCGCTACTTGATGGAAGGATTCTTGGTACTGGAGTTGGTGTCGGTGAAGGAAGACCACAGCAAGTCAAAGACGAAATAATTTTGCAACAAGTACAAGAAGATGCATCAACGTCAGTTCGAACTATAGCACGACGTTCTGGAATACCTAGAGCATCGGTGCACAGGGTTTTAAAATGATACCGTTTGCACCCGTACCATCTACAACGTGTACAAGGAGGAGCAGAATGTGCATAGCTGTAGGCGGAAGGCAATTTGAGCATTTATTATAAAATTATAACGGTTTATTGCTTTTATTTCTAAAGACCTTATTTTACCCGTCGTTTACACAAATAAGTGCCATAAAAGCTAATATCAGTATAATCATCATGTTGATTAACGTAAATACATTCCTAATAATGTGAAATAAAACAACTAAATACTAATTTAATTAATTTAGTTTTTTTTAGATATTCGCCTCTTCTTCGGATTCATTGTATTGTTTGCAACTTTACTAGTTAACCATGAGTTTTATACCAATTTTGAAACCTTACTTAATGCACATGTTTTTAAAATAATGGAACACTTTGGTGTCATACTTTTTTTTTACATTAGGAGCTTTTCAATTTAGGTCATCCAAATAAAATGCAATAAAATGTTAAGTTACTTCAATATTTTTGAGAGAAATACAATGTCATTATGCAAATGTGATAAACAAGTTGATAGGAAATCAATCTAGCTACATATTAGTGAAAAAAAGTTTGAAAATTTTTAATATTTGCATCAATGCTATTAAAAAAACCAATTCAAGACAGAAATATTGAAAAAAAAAAAAAACTTTTATCATTTTTTTTGGCAACCCTAATGAATTTCAAAAAACGGTTCAAATTAGTTGTAGGCAATTGAGTGAACTACCTAGGGTTTACGGTTGGACCATTACTTACGGGACACCCTGTATATACCAAAAATTCGAAAGAAGTTTTTATTTTGTTCGTAATAGTACTTAATAAGATTATAATATTTGTAAATTACTCTATGTTGAACACTGTCAATAAAGTTTGTTTAAATGAATATTATGGGCGTTAAAGTCCTCCATCCTAAGCCTATTTAAGTACTGCTGCTCATGAAGCTTATGAATCAATAAAAAACAGAATACATTAAAGGAAAAATTCATATAGATACCAATGTTAACGTAAGTACGGGAGGGGGGGGGGGGGAATATTTGTAATAAATCTGCTTACGTAATACTTGAACGGCTCCTAAACTTTTTGATAACAAACAAAATACAGGGATCCACGCCGGCAAAACCGTGCCAATCGTAAAGGGCGGTGAAACCACGCGCATGGAAGAGAATGAATTCTACGCTATCGAGACATTCGGTTCCACGGGCCGTGGGCAGGTCCACGACGATATGGACTGTTCGCACTACATGAAGAACTTCGACCAGCAGTTTGTGCCATTAAGGTAAAGCATTATTTATAATTGATTGACAGGAGCTGCGACTGTTGAAGTTAAGCAACTTTCGCAATGGTCTGTCATTGGATGGGTGACCAAAAATTTACTATCTCGAGCTCCTCCGTGCTTCGGAAGGCACGTTAAGCCGTTGGTCCCTATTGCATCCATAGCTTCCCTATGGATGGAATAGGCGCCTGTGCCCCAGCAGTGGGGATATTAATAGGCTGATGATAATGATTATTGATTAAAAATTATTAGAAAAAGGATAATAAACAGGCATAGCTTTTGTGATCTGTGTAAAAATTTTGTTGAAAATAATCTCGTACTCTTTTTCTCAGTGAGCTTCTAAAGTCATGTGTTTCTTCTAGTTGTCCTAGTTTAATTTTTACCATTAACTTCAATGAAGAAAATGTACTTGTGTTTCAGTTGTTCCGAAATGTAGTAGTACTAGCTTTTTAAATGAAAATTCTAGATATTTATTTAAGTACCAAAACCGTTTATTAGCATAACCATGAAACAAAAACCTGAATGTTGATTTGATTAAATATCATAACAGATATTGCTATCCAATTAAATCCAAGGCATATCATAATAAGCTGACATTCCTGATTTATTTTTCTGAACGAAATATTTCCAATATGAAATTCATTCCGCCTTATTAAGGAGCGGTCAGACGGCGTGTGTTGCCGCGCAGGGTTACCAAACGTATGAGAACTCTAACGTTTTATATTTAGCAGTCCCTGTATATGATACGAGGTAAATAGAAATGTCGTACACTTTGTGATGGCATAATGAAGCTGTACTTAATGAGTCGATCCTTTGTGGACTGGATATTTATTTACTTTCTGATAATATTTTTGGTTTGTGTATATATGACATAAACAGTCAACATTGCTCAAATCTCATATCAAAGTGTACGAGATTTCTTTTTACTTCGTATCATATATAGGGACTGCTATATCTCAAACGTTACGAGTTCTCATACGTTTGGCAACCCTGCGCGACAACCCACGCTGTCTGACCGCGCCTTTACAAAATGTTGATTAAAGTTAAACCCAGTCTGGATTGGCTTGGCTGGGTCAAAAACTGATCCTGTCACTTTTGTTTGCTAGAAACAAGATAGATTAGGTTGAAACCATGACTAAGTTTATTCGGTTCATCTTCCTTGACGACTTCCGTGGCCGAGTGGTGTCATGGGTTCATGGTATCGCCGACTCTAAAGGTCCCGGGTTCGAATCACAGTGGGGGCAGATGTTTGTGCGATGAATACCAGCATTTGTACTCCAGTCATGAATGTTTAATATGTATTTCTATATAAATATACTTATATATGTATTCTATCCGTTACCCTAGTATCCCATAACACAAGCCTTACAGTGCTTACTTTGGGGCTAGGCTAATTGGTATTTGTGTGGAAATATTTATTTATCTTCTACCTGCGTAAATTTGACCATGTACCTACCTGCGTTCAGATCTCAACTTAGATGGCTTCCAATACATCAAAGAAGGCAACAGAGAATGCTCTGTACTCTAAATACTATCCTGTTCAACCCAAACTCTCCAGAATACTTACGATCCAAATTTCAATATCTTTGTGACTCAGATGACCTTCAACTTCGTTCTACTGATACTCTTGCACTATCTCTTTCACTCTGGCTAATTGTCGGATTCCTTTGCTTCAATCTTCATGACTCTGGAACAGCCTCCCTGACTCCTTTAGAAGGTACATTTTCAAGAAGAAAGTTCATTAACTTCTAGAAAGCTAAGAAGGTTAAACTTAACTCACAAGTTCTCTTCGCAGTCTCATCATCAATATATTTTATAAACTGTGTTAATAATTATGTATGTATGTGTATAAATGTGTATGTTTACATTATAAATATCGGGTAAATATATTTAAATGTATTCTATGCATGTAACATACATGCATATATGAAAATTGCTTCTTTTTTTTATTGTAGCCGCATTCATGAATGCTTTTATCGTTTAGTCCGCCTTTTGTCCATTTTGTAATTGTGACAATAAAGTTCAAATAAAAAAATTCGAAAAAAAAACTTTAGTCTGCGTTTTGGAATAAGATGGATTTTGTTTTCTAATATTAAATTTGCTACAAGGTTTCTTAAATATGATCAAGCAACAATACAATTACAAGAGGAGCTCGATGGCGCAATTGGTTAGCGCGTTCGGTTGCGATCGTTGAAGTTAAGCAACTTTCGCAGTGGTCGGTCATTGGATGGGGGACCAAATTTACTATCTCGAGCTTCTCCGTGCTTTGGAAGGCACGTTAAGCCGTTGGTCCCTGCTGCATCTGCAGTCGTCAGCACCCATCAATCCGCACTGGGCCCGCGTGGTTGGTGATAGCCCAATCTCCCTACGCCATCCATAGGGAAGGCCTGTGCCCCAGCAGTGGGGACATTAATAGGCTAATGATGATGATGATGAACAATACAATATAAAAATGTGACATTGTTGACAGACTGCAATCGTCAAAGCAGCTGTTGAATCTGATCAACAAGAACTTCGGTACGCTCGCATTCTGTAAACGGTGGTTGGAACGTGCGGGCGCTTCCCGCTACGCAATGGCATTGAAGGACCTCTGCGACAAAGGGGTCGTTGACTCCTACCCGCCATTGTGCGACATTAAGGGATGTTACACTGCTCAGTTCGAGCACACCCTTCTTCTGCGACCCACGTGCAAGGAGGTCATCTCCCGCGGCGACGATTACTAGCACCAAATAAAAAGCAATGAAAAATATATACATAGTTATATTTTTTATTATTATTACAAAGATGTGGGAACACGCCGCGTTTCTTGTCGGACACAGCTAATCAACTTCATCATGCCCGCTTTAAGCAGATAAAAAACGACAGACAACCCTAGACAAGTCATTTCAGACATTGGCTACAGAAGGAGCCATCACAGAAGAAATCTTGAATCAACTCACAACGATGAATTCCATACGAATGCTTCCACTGAAAAAGATTAAACTGAGCGAAGTTTTCATCGTAAAAGGCAAACTATATTTCACTACGTTTGACCAAACTATTTGCGCTCATTCCTTAGTCTGTGTAGAAAGCGGGTATAAGGAAGCGTTGGGACTAGAACACCAAGGGTTACATACCATGAAATTTCAAACTTGTTCATCGTCGTTATTGAGGAAAATGAAATGCGCAAACTCTCCTGAAAAGTTTCAAGATTCTTAAACTTTTGACTTGCAAATTAAAAGAGAAAACAACGGAACACTTCCAGTTTGATGAGCGAACTAAATTAAAATGTGATATGAACATTTTAAAGCTATTTGCTTGCATGGTAACAACTGACGCGCAGCCTGTCTACGTGTTAAACATAGGATTTTATAAAATAACCCTTAGCATAATAAGAAATGTCGCAATATTTTTATGTATTTTTTTCTATGGTGGCCTATTTGAATTCTCAAAATGAAAGAGGAGAGTCAAACCGATCAGGATTATCAAATGTAAAAGTTCGCAAACAGATATCGACGCGAGTGGCATATCTACTTCCTTCCTTTGGCGAATATTATGATTGTTCAGCCTAGTTATAGTATGATTCTCTTAATTGGACGTAGTTACGCGAAAACGTTCCAACCCACAGCGACCCCATTTTGAGATAAACGCAATTTTGTGTTTTAGCGGTACACTTTTTCCCTGTAATTATTTCAGGCAAATACTATTGGTGTTACTGTGGAATGCCAAACTGGTTATTGAATGATATGCATATTTTTTGTAAATACATAATACAAGGGGCATATAAATAGGTAAAACGAGTTTGAAACGTTTTCGCTAAATTTAATTTTGTATGAACGTTCCAGAACGAATTTAAGTGTATTATTTTATAAATATATCTAAAATAAATATGTAAAATAATAAATAACAATGAAGAACATACAAAAAAAAAAAAAAAAAAATTGAAAATGTATTACAAAAAAAATAGAACGTGATCTTTTGAGCTTAGAACCTATGCCAATTTGCTGATATGGTTCCAAAAGTTATCAAAAACTTATATTATAAACATTCAATTTTCATCATCGTATTCTATGATCTCGAAGTCCGGAACTCCACCAAACCCATCAACATCATCAGTGCTTCTTCAGAACTTTGAAGCGTTCTATAAAATTGAAGGCAATCCACTTCCTGTGCACCTCTTCTACCTCTCCTTCTACCAATACATAACAATGCCCAGTATCATTAAATGCACTATGGATACCACTATTGTAGAACTAAGTAAAAAAGTTAAACCTCTTCAAGTTTACAAAATGACAAAGACTGATTTTTTTAGTACAACTAAACTGGAAAAGAAGATTATCAATAGGAAGAAGTTTACAGACTCATCTAAAGTTAGTTGGCTACATACAAAAGAAATTAAGTTGGATAAAGATAAAATGTTTTCTATTTTTATGCGGTCTACGATGGAAGACGATTTCAATGAGTTGAAAATTGATAAAAGAATAAAACGAGAACTGCAATACATAAAAGAATCTGATTTTTGCTTATTGTGGCCTAACGACAAACCGATTGCTCCAGCGAAATTAGTGGACTTACAATCCATGTACCACTACATACCCGAGGATTGCCTTCAATTTTATAGAACGCTTCAAAGTTCTGAAGAAGCACTGATGATGTTGATGGGTTTGGTGGAGTTCCGGACTTCGAGATCATAGAATACGATGATGAAAATTGAATGTTTATAATATAAGTTTTTGATAACTTTTGGAACCATATCAACAAATTTTTGGCATAGGTTCTAAGCTCAAAAGATCACGTTCTATTTTTTTGTAATACATTTTCAAATATATTTTTTTGTTGTTTTTGTATGTTCCTCATTGTTATTTATTATTTTACATATTTCTTTTTGGTTTATTTTTATAAAATAATACACTTAAATTCGTTTTGGAAAGTTTATGCATAATTGCTATTTAACAAGGTTCATACAAAATTAATTTAGCAAAAACATTTCAAACTCGTTTTACCTATTTATATGCCCCTTGTATTATGTATTTACAAAAAATATGCATATCATTCAATAATCAGTTTGGCATTCCATAGTTAAACCAATAGTATTTGCCTGAAATAATTACAGGGAAAAAGTGTGTAAATTGCAAATTGGGGTTGCTGTGGGTTGGAACATTTTCGCGTTACTACGTCCAAATATACCATAGTTATTTATTTTGGTAAAAAATATCTTTTTCTCTAGAACATATTTAATAGCAAAAATGGATCAAGTATATGTGGATTGTTTATAGCAAAAAATATGAAAATAATATATTATAATAAAAGGTTTCAATTTATTTAGAACAGTGTTCGCAGCTTAAAAAAACAGTATGGATTAATCTAAAGGGTTTCAAATTACATGGAACATTTTTGCAGAAATAAAAAATGTATAAAGATTTTGCAAAAACGTTCCAACCCACATGGATCATTTAAGAAACCATTAAATGTGCGTTTTATGAATTTAGTATAATGTTCCAAGACAAGTGGAACATTATAACGATATGTTATTCTATTAAGAGTTTTTAACAATATGTTTCAGTATGCATGTAATGTTTTTACTTTATTTTGAGTACACGTCCTTGGCATAATGGTGGGTTGGAACATTTGGGTTAAACTTTATTGATGAAACTAACTTAAAAATACTAGCATCTTTGTGTGCACATGATGTAATATGGCAAAAATAGTACCCTGGTTATGGTAACTCATTTTCGAGTGACTTGTGGGTTGGAACGTTTTCGCGTAACTACGTCCAATTCAAAGCTATATTTGATAGCAGCCTTTCTTTTTTATTCTCTATAGAGCATGATAAGGACGTACTACTGTGATATTTAGTTATAGAGAATCATGCCAAAATTAGGGCGAATCAGATGTAGATGACCAATTCAATAATGGTGTCGATTCTGACATGATTCTTTAAAGCTAAACTTAAATTTGACAACAGTGCATCTTTGTCACTTTCTATATAGAATTAAAGGGAAAGACTGATGTTAAATTTAGTTTTAAGTTTAGAGAATCACGCCAGAATCGACACCAGTGCCATTTATTGTTGAAAAATATCTTGGAATTGTTAGTTACAAATGATAAACTTAATAGAGGTCTAAACAAAATGGTGGATGGTAGGTATACCAAAACACGACGTTGAACGATCTCTGAAAATATGTTGTCGGTAGAACCCCTGTGAATATGTATTTGAAATATAATAATTTGTGCTTGGATTATATACAAGCCTAGATAGAGCAATCCAAACCCAAATTAACCACGTAAAGAAAACGTACAATTAACCACGTAATGTCAGAACGTTTGAAAGCAATGTTTACGTGTGTAGCGCGAGCTTATCTACCATATGTCGCAGATATTTTTTGTGCCTAGGCGTAAAAATGTATCTAGGCGTGTATAGAATCAAAGATTTTGTGGTTCTAAGAATAATTTAGATATTAATACATCAATGCTTAATTTACCTACTCTTTGTAATAAGTTAATCGTTACAGCTTTGTAGTGCTAGTTTTGTTGCAGTTTGTTTCTAACATAATTGTTGTAAGTTTTTCCTTTTATTACTAAACTTGTGGTATTTTTTGTTCAATAAAAAAATCACTGTAAAAGGTGGCCCAAAAAAGTAAGTTCTTGTATGTCGCAAAAATAATAATAGTTAACTATTTTAATTTGATAGCTTAAACATTTCTGCGAAGTGTGGGTAGCTACACACATAATTGACGACCTCCCTAGCCGAGTGGTTTATACGCCGGGTTTCATGGTGTTATTATTATTATTTATAATCGGACCGGCATAATCGGTTCGACAGTATGTGTCGAACAACAAAGCCGACGCGTAGTAATTACTGCCGAACATTCATCTTAATAAATTCGATTTTTACCGCCCGGCTGTACCGATTAATGTCGGCCCACTTATATGTGTAGCTATCCTCGGTAATTTTGTTTATAAATTTAATAGTGGTACCGCCAGACCTCTGTTGTGTGTTAACTCTACCCGAAAAAATTAAATTAAGTTTCCACATAACTTATTTCCAAACCACAGGATATGTTTACTATTCTACGAATATCCATAGATAGCTAAGATCAAAGTTATATTACTAAATAAATTTTGTGAGTTAATAAAACTCAATTTCAATCATTTGTTGACTAGTAGTTTGATGTATGAGAAAACACATACTGAAAATAAATCAGATGAAATATAATATGGATATTAAATATTGGTTAGATATTTTTAACAAACTTTCTTGTTCCTGTAAAATATTCGTTTCTTTTTATAATACTCTTCATTTTTTAAAGTATGAAGAGAGACATGATAAAATCATGTTTACTTTATCTGACACTTTTTCAAACAATATTTATTTTTATGTAGAATCGTAAGAAATGTTAGTTTTTATAAAATACAAGAGGAACAAAGGCGACGGCAATATCTTGTTACTAAATAATGAACTTCCTAAAAGTTACATAAATATTATAATGTTGTGATACATTGGTATTACAAGTTTGTCAATAAATAAATATTAAATAAAATTTCGGCAAGTGTATGTAAAATTATGTAGTTTTTTTTTTCTGGAATCCCAATGAAGTTATCAGTATGTCACAGCACAATGTGAGATACTGATGACATTGTATATCCCACTAGAGTTGCCTTGCGGTTTCACCCGCGTTAATTTAAGGAAAAAGGTTACACACAGCGCACGCAACGGAAGCTCACAAACGGAATATTTTTTCCCGTTTCTGCAACATTTTTTATTGGTACTTCGCTCCTATTAATCGTAGCGTTGTTACTTATCGTATAGCCTTCCGATACATGCACTATCCAACACAAAAATATTTTTTCAAATCGGACCAGTACAGTTTCAGCGCATTCAACTTAACAATAGCAAACAAACTCTTCAACTTTATAATATTAGTATGATTATTTTAAATCTGCCAAAAATATTAACACGATCTAATTTACATACCTATTATTTGGAACATTCATAACTTCAGATTCTGTGAAGGTAGGTCATAATTCGGGGGAACAAAAACAACACACCTCTTACTTAGAACTTTTAATTTTTAGGAAAACACTATGTTTATAACTACTTCCACAAATAGGTGTGAATTTTCATTACTTTATTATAAGAGTACATTTTCGTTATTTTGTTTTATATATTACGATACAAAATCTCTTTCGCCTAATCATCTGTATAAAATATTATAATAATAATATCGTTTACTTTTCTCATTATAAATGATGACTTAAATCTAGATAAAGTTACCAGTTAAGTGTTTAACCGTTATTTGTAAGGAGACTGGCACCTAAACTAAGCCGTTGCTTGTAATATAGGATACCAGGATCTCCACTCTCGCAAACAATATTTGGTAAAGCTAAGTATGTATAATTCAAAGACTAAAAAAATGAAAAAACAAACATTATCAATTCTGTTAACTCTCTTTGAAGCTACTTCGATTTAATGTAAACATGAATAATTATATCATAATATAATTTGAAGTAAAAGTGTAACACTGCATTCCATGTAAAATATTAACCCAATCCCGCAAAGAATCATATA